GCCAAGTAGTTTGCTGTCCAGGAATTCACTAGCTCTGGGAGGGACAGTCTCTTCAGATCAGCAGTGGAAAAGCATTAAAAATATAGAATGAAAGAAATGATGAATACAGTTGGTATCTGACAGGGATAAGTGAATAAATGAGTGAATACACGTTTGTACAAGTAGGATATTGAAAAGATATTTTGAAAAGAGCATGTGGTTCTACAAATAGAACTGCCATATGATCCAGCAATCCCTCTCCTTGGTATCTATCCAAAGGACAGAAGAATTCTTAATCTGAAAAGTGCTTGCACATCGATGTTTATTGCAGCACTATTCACAATTGCTAAGACATGGAACCAAACCAAATGCTCATGAACAGATGAATGGATTGAAAAACTGTGGCACATGTACTTTATGGAATACTATTCAGCCACACAAAAGCCAACAAAACCCTGGCTTTTGATAGACAGTGGAAGAATATGGAAGATTTACTGCTGAATGAAGCAAGGCAGGCTGTGAAGGAGAGGCATTATATGTCCCCACTTAATATATACCGAGTGTCCACACTCTATGACTGAAACTGATTGACTAAAGGATATAGAAACACAGTAAATGGATGTAAATACCAGATATAGTGTGTGTGAAAGAGTAGAGTCTGAGGGAGGACATTTAGAAGAAAAATAGAGAGGCAAAGCATTAATGGGACAAAGAAATGTGGTATTAACTGCTGAAGATAATTTTATAATATAAATATAAAGAAAGAATAGAGAGTGTGGAAGAATGGGCCTAGGATGGGAAGACTTGCTAGGGACACTTAGAACAGGAACCAACAAAAGGGCCTGAACTCAGGAGAGGAACAATAATGATCCTGAGGATATGACTTGAGTAGTCACCCCATAAAAGTTATGTCTACATCCTAATTTCTAAAACCTGTGACTATGACTTTGGGACGAAGGTCTTTGTAGAGTAATTAAGAAACTTAAGATGAGTAACATTCTAGATTAGGGTGAATCCTAAATCCAATGACAAGCATCTATATAGGAGAAGAGAAAGGGGAAGACACAGAGACACATGGAGAAGTTCATGTGAAGACAGAGTTTGAGTTAAGCTGCCACATGCTGCCACATGCCAGTGGAATGCCTGGAGCACCAGAGACTAGAAGAGGCAGGGAGGGGATAGCTCTTGGAGTCTGCAGAGGGGATGCCCTAATGAAAATTTGATTTGGGACTCTCGGCCTTCAAAACTATAAGAGAATAAATCTTGGGCTGTCCCATAGTCTTGTGGCTAAGGGAGCCGGATTCCACACTGCCAGCTCTAGTTCAATTCCCAGCTCAGGCAGCCTGAAAAACATACAAACCATATGTACATATGTGCCCCAAATCCCAAAAAGATGGAGGAATGGAGGAGAGGAGATTGTGGTGTGACCACACCCCACTGGGGCCGCTTTCTCTCTCAGATGAGAGCACATACTTTCTGGCAATTGAAATAATAAAAGTTAAAAAAAAATAGATCTCTATTGTTTTAAGCCACCACACAAATGTGTTAATTTGTTATGGCAATCCTAGGAAAACTAAAACAGGGGGGACCAGCAGGTCGCCTGGTGGTTGAGGCACTGGACACTCCCACATGACTGACCACAGTTTAAGTCCCAGACCTTGTAGCTTGTTTGCTCCCTTTCCCCCTCTCTTTCTCTGTGTCTCTCTCTGGCCAAATTAAAATAAATGAATGAATAAATAAAATTAAATAAAGAATTGTTTTTTAAAAAGAAAACTAAAACAGGATAGTAGTGTCAAGTGAAGAAAGCAAACAGGACTTTAAACAAAAGACCTGGGCTCTGTCCTATACATACTGCTGGTAGCTGTGTGGCTTTGGACAAGTCACTCAGCCTTTCTGGGTCGCTTTCACAGCAGCCCATGCGAGGGAGGGCTGAATGATCAAGGAGGCTTCTGCTTACTCCAAAATTCTAGGAGTCCCTTTCATAGTTCTGTCCTGGCCAGACACGGAACCACCAACGCTGAGCAGGTGGACCTTGCCATCTAGCAACTCAGACTGGGCCATGGACTCAAGCTTTTTCATTTGAGTGACTTCATAAGGCTCCCTTTCATAGGACACTGGGCCAAAAGTATCCCTACATGACATGTATGGAGAGCCAGCTTATGGTTCAAAAGCCATCATGGAGTCTAATTTTACCTTTGGTTCATTGGTACTGGCAGAGTATCGCTGGGTGCTGCTGTGGGAAGAGGGTGGGTGACATCTGGGAAGTCAGGTTCTGCCTCTGCCTCTGCCTCCCCTCATCAGGGGCAGGACTGGCAAAGGAGGAGTTTGTAACTTGAACAGTTTCTTAAAAATGGTGATTCTCTTCACCCAACCTCACCTCCTCTACCCACCATCCCCCTGGCTGTCATATGGACTCATGCCAAGGGTATCAGTCTGTCCTGAAGTGAGATTTGTTATTATTGGTTTAGCAAAGAGGATTATGGAGCTCAATTTGGGGTGGAAACTATTGGGTCATTGGATACATCATGATGTATTTTTCTCTATGCAAAAATGCATCCATCATTACTTCTCCAGTGACCCAATTCCATCCTTTGTCAATCCCAAATTCTTTTTTTCTTTTTTTTTTTTGGAGAGGTTTTCGCTGTAGGGCGCATGTGCTCGCCAGAAAGACAGAGAGAGACAGAGAGATAGAAAGTGAGAAATCACCCCCCAGGGGGATGGCCACGCTGCAATCCCTTCTCCTCCATTCTCCTCTTGGGATCTTGGGCATGCACGCACACGCGTCCGCGTGAGTTTAAGCTGCCGGGTCTGGGACTCGAACCACGGTCGACTACGTGGGAGTCCAGTGACATAGCCATTACTCTAACTGCTGGTCTCATCAATCTCAATTTCTTGAGATTGCTTCTGAAGATGGGTTAGCAGCACTTTCCAGACATGGGGCTCTGTGTGCAGTGTCAAGGAGATGTGAGGTCACACTGGCCTAACTCCTGCCTACCACTGGGCACTGGGGCCAGTGGCTTAACCCCTCCACTGCAACCTGCACTCAGGAAATGCTCAGTAGAACTGGGGTTGCTTACCTTATCTTCATGTAGCAAGATCTACAGAGGGGTCTTAAAATACCCCCTTTGATAAAATAGGTTTAGGTTTCAGAAAGTACAAAGGCTCATATAGGCTAAAATTAAAAGATTAATTCTAACTTTTTTTTTTTTTGAGAGGTTTTTGCCATAA